ACATCAGTTCTATACCTTCTCTATGTGAAACCCTTTTTTTATGCTTTTATGTAAACCTCTTTGTTAATGAATACCACAGTTTCCTAATCTGACCACTGCTCCAACATGCAGTATCCAAAACCCCACTGCTGTGACAATCCCCCATGTTCCTGCATCTCTCCATCTTGATTTCTTCTTCCTAGTAATCCTCAGACCACCTTTCACTCCCTTCCAACAGCCACTATTTCAGTGATCTATGCCTCACTCAGCCAGGTTCTCCTGGATACTTCCAAGCATTCAACCCACATCCCTGTCGAAGGAGCACTGCTGGTAAGTTTGATGTCCTACTTCTGACCCTGTCAGAAGGAAGCAGGGACAGTCTTTGTAAAGTCTACAGCAGTGTAGGCCTTCATAGTCACTCAGCTCTCATCAGTGACCCATCAGACCAGCTTCTGTTTCTGGATCTCCATTCATGGTAAGTGCCTACACACGTATTCCATTTTTATCTTTTATACTGTATTTTCGCTGTGTCTTTTCTATATTGGTGTTTACATATACAAATATTAGTTACCAGTGTATTACAACTGCCTACAGTATCCAGTACAGTAACATGGTATACAGGAGTACAGCCTAGGAGTAATAGGCTGTAAACAATACAAGCCTAGGTGTGTAGTAGGTTATAATATCTATGTTTACAAGTGTGCTCTGTGTTGGCCACACAAGGACAAAATTGTCCAACTATGCATTTCTCAGAATGTATCCCCATCATTTAGTGATACTAAACTGTAATGTCTTATCGCTTATATTTTCAACATCCTTTCCTTAGAATTTTCCATGGTATCCTTCATTCCAAGGGTCTATTTTATTGTTTTAAACAAACAAAGAAAATACTTCAAATTTTGTTTGTTTCTTTAAGTGAATCCAGAAAATTTTGACTTTTACTTATTGGCACTGAGGTAAACACTATCTAGATCAATTAAGGCAGTGGTTCTCAACCTGTGGGTCCCGACCCCTTTGGGGGTCGAACGACCCTTTCATGGGGGTCACCTAAGACCATCGGAAAACACATATAATTATATATTGTTTTTGTGATTAATCACTATACTATAATTATGTTCAATTTGTAACAATGAAATTGGGGGTCACCACAACATGAGGAACTGTATTAAAGGGTCGTGGCATTAGGAAGGTTGAGAACCACTGAATTAAGGCATTTAAAATCCAAGTCTTCCACACTATGACTTAGCCTATGATCACAGTCTTATTTCTCACCACATTCCCCAACTCCAGCCACACAAATGATTCTTAACGTTCCTAAAACTTAATCCATACATTTAAAATTCATGTGTTTTTCCTCAAAACATTCACTTTGCCACAAAGGTGATTTCTATCCTCTCTTCTAGCCCACATGTGATTTTTTCACAGTTTATTAGAACGAGCTGATAAGTTACATCCTTACTACCAATTTTCCTGGGTCAGAATTAATCAATTAATCCCTCTCTTTATTATTTCACAAAACAGTATTCAAAACTACCTTAAGACACTTTCTTTGGACTTATGATTGTGTAGAATTATCTCTTTACAATACTCTTTTAGGATAGAAGAAAACTGTTTTAAGCACTCTAAAAGTTACTTGGCATGAAGAGCATAAAATAGACTTTTGTTAAATGAATTATGAACACTGATTAAAATAAAGTATATTTAAAAGTTGGCACAAATAAGTTTTCAAGTAAGCATTTCAGAAAATAAATATATTTTCTTTTCCTGTTTGCAGGCCTAAAAAGTCATTTGCTCAAGACTACTCATCTATTTCCTATATCTACTAACCTCCTACTCAAATAACCATCAAAGGTTTTGTTTACAGGCACATAGTGAACACCTACTCCTGCAACTATACTGGAATGATACTACTGGTAAAATGACCATTTTAAGTAAAACAAACAAACAAACAAACAAAAACTCAAGAAATCATTTACTAAATTACTTATATTTTATAAAGCACTTTATATAATTTCAAAAACATCTTGTTCAATTCTTTATAAAAATAAAAATTTATCAAAAAGTTCCTAGGAAATACTTTATTCAGAAAGATACAAAATAAACTTTATATCATAAAATTGACAAATATATCATAAAGTTGTCTTTTCTGCCCATGATATTTTTGTAAAACCAACTGGATTAGTGTCTCTGAAAAAAAAAGGCAACTTTAGTTAAAACTGCCATTCAAATTAGCATGGCTCAATCAACCCAAGAACCTGAAAAAATATATAATTTTAAAGAGATATAATTATAACTTTAATATACAGAAATAAATTGTGGCTTAAATGCTATAAACTGATTAACAATATCCATAGATTTTAAATTATTTAATCAGTATTGATGTCTAGATGATTCCCATTCTTGCAATATTTAGCAGCCTTTTTTTTTCAAAGTTCTTTAACCTTACTGACTACTCCCATCCTTGTTTTAACCTATCAATAGGATTAAGTAAAACTCCATTATTGTCATTAATCTATTTTCTTCATTAAAATAAAAATTAAGTTCCATATTTTCTTTAAAACTTTCTATGTGATCTATTTTAAAATATGTTCATGTGATGTGTCCCCACTTTCAAGTTTTCCTACTGTTAACACTTGCTATTTATGAATTATTATTTGTCAATAATCTAAAATAATACAGCCTCCTATTCCAACAGTGATATTCTAAAGTAACTGAGTATTCAATTTACATTTTAACATATAAATCAATGTGTTATTTTTCCCTCTGTAGACTACAAAATGGCCATTGGCCTTTATCTTTAAATTGTAGAATCTTAGAAGAAATAAAAAGCACCTAGGTGTGAAATTACCAACAAGATTAGGATATGTATAGCTTTGCATTTTTGCTGTACGACTTCCTAGCACTGTAACCTTGTAAAAGATATTTAATGTATCTGAGTCTTAATTTCTACATCTTTCAATAGTGGAAAATCTGTACTTGATTTATATGATTTATATGACTGATGTAACATGCTTTGAACAAAGCCTACCATATGGTAAATGCTCAATAAAATTTAACCATCTTTTCCTCCTTATTCTATCGTATTTTTTTCCTATTGTATCTCCTTCACCTCTTCTTTCTCTCTTTTCTCTTACTGATCCTTGGCTGGTGTTCAAAATGCACATCTCAGGGTAATAGTTTATTTATCAAGAAGAGAAAAGAAATCTAAATCAATTTCACAAATACCACAAATAAGTATTTGGCCTTTCATGAAGTTGCCGATGTTCCTCTCCGGTAGCCGTGCCAAGGTAAAGACACAGGCCTCAGAGTCAGAAATAGCTTATTTTTAATTAAAGACCATCATTCACTATAGGGCCACTGTGAAAATAAAATGTAAATTTCTTAGTGCAGTAACTGGCAAACAGAAAACTATGAAGTAATACCTATGATAAAATCATCACAAGAATGATATCAGTAAGTGTATTTGTAACTCTGTAAGTCCTGTGTCCTAGTTACCAGTTTGCTCAGAAATGTGGCCCGACCAAGCCAAACACAATCACTAGAGCAGGGGTATAACTCCTGATCCCCACATGATTCTTCAGCTATGACTATATGAGGACAGTAATAATAGGATCTCTAATGTGTGTGGGGGTTTTTTGGTCTTTTTTCCCCAGAAAATAAAAATTAGGGCTTCTACATTAATTACTTATAAGTTCTTATAGGTTATTCTGTATAAGAACTGATACAGAGATAATTATTATCTTAGAAGGTTTCTAGGAAAAAAAATTAATTTACTTCTTGAAAGTAACTGTGATAAATGTGACATTCTTGATACACACAAGACATACGGATGTTTATTCATTTTAATGGAAAGAAGATAATGAAGGTTGAAGCATAATCTTAATTTAAAAATATATTTCTCATAAATGATTTGATAAAGAGCTCACAGAATAAAAAGAAATTTTCAGAAAAAATAAATAAAATGAGTCTATAAAACAAATAAAAAACAGCCTGTTAATCAAAAACAGGAAGATTTAACTCTTCATATGAATTTTTAGATGAAAATACACATGTTTAATAATTAACTGTTGAATAACTGTTGGTATAAAAAGTCAAATTCAAGCAGCAATATTTGAATAATGCTAAAATAATAAAACCTGTTTGGGTCAACTTCTCCTTTCAGATTTAAATTTGTAGATGTAATGGAAGAAGCAATGTAAAATTATCAAGAATGTGATAAATGAGAAAAAAAAACAAATTTTAAGAAAAAAAAGAAAAGCTAACCCAACTATACCTGAAGACAGTTAACCACCTCCATTATTAAAGTTGTTTAAACAGACAAAACTAACAATACACAAAGCTTCACAAACTACCCTTTTATTTTAGCTTAAAATAAAAATGTAGAAACATATCGCAATGTGAAAATAATGCAAAATACATCAAAACATAAAAATCAAGTACAAACAAAACTAAAATAATGTTAATACCTGAAAAACTGTACTTAGTAAATTATGCATCCTTATAAGTATTTCAAAAGGAACTACTCCTAGATTAAAAAAAAACAACAACAAAAAACAACAACACCTAATCATAATGTATCTTTTTGCCAACTTCAAAAAATACAGTAAACTCATAGCTTCTAATAAAAACCAAATTGTTAATATCTGTGAAATCCACTTATGTTATGGTAATTTAAAATTTGTTTATGCACAAATACTCACTGAGGTTACCAAACTTCATAACATATATACAGAAAAGTCTTAAATATACAAATAGAAATTTATTTCTAGAGAAAATATTTATGAAATATTCTAATATTATTTCTGTAAAACACTATGTTAAAGAACAGTTACTAATTTAAAAGAAACAAATATGTTTTACATATTATTCCCTTCTAATTGTAATTTAATCTCTTCTATGTGATTTAAGTTATATGCTAAAATGTATACCACATAGAGTCCAAAATCCACCATTCTTTCATATTACAACAGATCCTAAATATCTAACAAGGATGACAATTTTTAAAAGATATTCAAACTTACCCCATTTAATGGATATGTTTTCCATCCTAGCTCTCCCAGCACAGTTGTTGTATCAAGCAACACAACTGCAATTAAATAAACAAAAAACACATAAATTATCTCAAATCTTACTATTACTCACTACATTAGCTTTAGTAAGTTGTATTTAAATTATTTATATATAGTAAGTATTTATAAGTAATGATAAAATATGTGAGGTGGTTATAAGTTAATTTTAAAATATGTAATTTGTGTATAACAATGCTAAATGAAACAATTTAATAACAAAGTCATTCTTTTTTTAAAAAAAATATATTTTATTGATTTTTTACAGAGAGGAAGGGAGAGAGATAGAGAGTTAGAAACATCGATGGGAGAGAAACATCGATCAGCTGCCTCCTGCACATCTCCTACTGGGGATGTGCCGCAACCCAGGTACATGCCCTTGACCGGAATCGAACCTGGGACCTTTTAGTCCGCAGGCCGACGCTCTATCCACTGAGCCAAACCGGTTTCGGCATCAAAGTCATTCTTAATAGCTGTCTTCCACATAGAAGCATAGAACAATTTGTGGAATCTCAGAGGGAAGACAGGGGAAGGTGGGTGGGTGGTGGGAAGAGATCAACCAAAGAACTTGTATGCATCCTAGCTAATCCTATCTAATAAAAGAGTAATATGCAAATTAACCATCACTTCTAGACAAAGATGGCAGCACCCACTGCCAATAAGGAGGGAATATGCAAATTGATATGACAAAGATGGTGAAGCCGGCCAGAGAGCGGGCACGGGAGGCTTGGCTTCCTTGGTCACTGAGGCTTGGCTTCCTTGGTCGCCCCAGCTGGCTCAGTGGCCACCGCCCAGACAAAGCCATAGTGGCAGGGCCGAGGCAGAGGCAGTAAGGGGCAATCATGCCAGGAGGGGAGGGTAGTTGGGGGCAAGCAGGCCAGCAGGGGCAGCAGTTGGGGGCGAGCGGGCTGGCGGGGGGGGGGGGCAGTTGGGGGTGGTCAGGCCAGCAGGGGGGGCAGTTGGGGACAAACAGGCCAGCAATGGGGGGCAGCTTGAGGTTAAAAGGCCAGTGGGGGGGCAGTTGGGGGAGAGCAGGCTGGCAGGCAGGTGAGCGGTTAAGAGCCAGCAGTCCCAGATTGTGAAAGGGATGTCCGACTGCCGGTTTAGGCCCAATCCCTGTGGGCCTAAACTGGCAGTCAGACATCCCCCAAGGGGTCCCAGATTGGAGAGGGTTCAGGCAGAGCTGAGGGACACGCCCCTCCGCCGCATGAATTTCGTGCACCGGGCCACTAGTATATGCATAACACATGAACACACAATATTGTGGTGAAAGCCTGGGGCAGGGGGTGGAGGCAGGCTAGAAAAGGTCAATGGGGGGAAAAGGGGACGTATGTAATACTTTCAACAATAAAGTTTTAATTTAAAATTTTTAAAAATAAAATAGCCATCTTCTAAAATTGATAAAATAACCACCTTTGCTTCTCTCTCTCCTTTCATATATGGTCCTTCTATACCACATTAAAAAAAGACTGTATTAAAGCAGGCTTCTTTATTTTCTTTCTGTTATTAAATGCCCTTATATATTATTGGCAAAGTATGAAAACAATTCTTATGAATAAATCCGAGATCTTTAAAGCATAGATTACATTGTTACTGTATTTGCCAGATAGTATACTTACTACTGAGGGAGGCAAAAACAAAAATAAAAAGCACACATCATTTTCCTGACCAAAAGTAACTCATAATATGATGGCAAATATGCAAACAAATAATTAAAATATATTCTATTAAATTCAAAACTAAACGATTGACTATATGCTAGCCTAGCAAGTAAGTAGGCTAAGGCTGGCAGGGCAGGTCTCAGCGGATTTAACAAAGGAGATGCTATTTGAGCTGGGCTAGGATGAGGGGTCTTCATCAGATGTGATAAGCAACACATATTTGTTTTTCTTTTAGGATATCTTCTATAAAATAACTGAGTTATAACTCAATTCTCAGTTGCTGGAACAGGGACCAGGGGTGGGAATTATTTCCAGGGAAGAAGGAGGACAGAAATGAGGGAGGAAAGCAACAAAGATTAACTGGGGAGGAATCTGCAGAGTTTACAGCAGGTAAATGCTTGGGGTCCATGATTCAGCAGATCTTTATTTTTAACTACTTACTACCTCCAATTCCCCCAGACACCAGTAGTCCATGGACCACACTCTGAGAAACAATGCTTTATCATCTCATTATGACTTTTAGTCTTCATCTAGTTAAGAAAGTTGAGTTTATTTGTTGCCTTTTTGTAGTTTAAAAAATTGCTATTAGGGGCACATTACTTGGTATCTGCTGTTTAGTGTCTATTGTAAACATTTTGTCATTTTTCTTATTTGAATCACTATGATACGTTGATTTAAAATATAAAACCATGTTTAAATTTCTGGGATAAACTCTATTCATTGCAGAATATTCTTTCAGTACTATTAAAATCTATTCACTAAACTTTTATAAAACTGAGCTATAATTCCTTAGTTCATTTTTACTGTGGAAAATCTCAAACATATTTTAACATGTAGAGAAAACAGTACATTGGACCCACATGTAGTCATCATTTGGCTTCAATAATTACCAGCATGGCCAATCTTATTTCATGTTTACTATTCTCCCACTCCAAGATTTCTTTGAAGAAAATTCCATTAATCATATAATTTCATGTGTAAAAATTTCAGTATGCATTTCTACCATATTTATTTTATATATAACTACAATATCTTAATAACGTACTGAAAGTAGTAATCCCTTAGTGTCATAAAGTAGCTAGTGTTTAATATTCTTAGTTTCTCAACTTCTTTAACAAAAAAAATCAATATCTAATAAGTACTATAAATTACAGTGAATGGACATTCCTTTTAAAGTCTTTTTTTAATCAATAGCTTTTCCTATTATATTTTTAGTTAGATTTATTGAGGCATGATGTACTACAAATAAAGTTCACCCATTTTAAATGTACATTTCTATGAATTAAGAAAAACCCCTACATCTATATAACCAACTCTATAATCAAGCTATAGAATACACTCATGACCTCCAAAATTTCCTTTGTGATCCTTTATAGCAGCGGTTCTCAACCTGTGGGTCGCGACCCCTTTTGGGGTCGAAGGACCCTTTCACAGGGGTCGCCTAAGACCATCGGAAAACACATATATAATTACATATTGTTTTTGTGATTAATCACTATGCTTTAATTATGTTCAATTTGTAACAATGAAATTGGGGGTCACCATAACATGAGGAACCGTATTAAAAGGTGGCGGCATCAGGGAGGTTGAGAACCACTGCTTTATAGTGAGTCTCTTCCCCACCAAGCCCTTAGCAACCACTCATCTGATTTCTGCGCCAATGGTTCTGACTTTCCCAAAATGTCAAATGAATGAAATCACATAGCAGATAGTCTTTGAGTTGTTTTATTTTTTTAATGTTAGCATAGTGTATTTGAGATTCATCTATGTTGCTGTATCAATAGTTAAGTTCCTTTTTATTGCTGAAAAGTATTCCTACTGCATGGCATTTCCTAGTTGATAGACATATGGGCTATTTTCAGTTAGAGAATTATAAGTAAAGCCACTGTAATATATCATTTACAGATTCTTATAGGAACCCATGCTTTCTTTCTTCTATGGTACATAAAAATTACTGGGTTATGTGAGGAATACTTTTTTTTTAAGTGTCATATTCCAAAATGGCTATGAAGTTTTGCATTCCCATTAGGGGAATATGTTATTTTCCTATTGCTCCACATCCATGGTATTATCCAGTTTTTGAGGCATGCTAACATGTGTGCAACAGGATCTCATTGCTTTAATGTTTCCCGAATGACTAGACAGTTTATCTTTTTCACTACTTGAAATCAAATTTACTAAATAAAACAAAATTGTTTTGTCACACTTTCTGGATTTTCCTAATTATAATACATCATTGAAAGGTGCTTCCCCATTTCCTGTATTTTCTTTAAATTAAAGATCTATTTAGTGGCTTTATCTGATTCAGGTTCCATTTATTTTTATATTTTGTAAGATTACTTTATTGGTGGTGTTTCATGGTCCTTATACCAGAAAACAGGGATGATATTAATTTCCACTAAGATCACTGAGAAAGAACTCTAGAACCAACTTGCATAGGCTCCAACTGGACAAAAATAATTTGATCATAAACAAGGTTAATGACTGGAAGGAATTAAAATATTTCAAATATGCTTAAATCCAAGCACTTTGGAAGGGATTTTAGAGATAGGATAGTGAGTCTTAGGGAAGAAGGGGGAGAGATCAACCAAAGGACTTGTATGCATGCATATAAGCCTAAGCAAGGGACACACAGACAACAGGGGGTGAGGGCATGAGTGGGGGGGGGGGCTATAAGGGGGTAATAGGGATATAAGGACACATATGTAATACCTTAATCAATAAAGAAATTTAAAAAAAGAGAGGGTTCACGGGGGAGGAATGCATATGTGAAGGGCAGAAATAGCTCCAAGATGCCAAAATGCTTATCTTACTTGTACAGAGAATAAAGAAATGTCACAGGATAAGGGGGGAGAGGAAGGAAGACATACATTCACAGAAAATAAAGAAAGGTCACAAGGTACCCGGAAAAGGAGAAGATATTTTCACAGAGAATAAAGGAATGTAACAAGATAAGGGGGAGAGAAAGAAGGAGGCACCAGGTGGGCTTTGATCTTTGAAACTGATATCCTGCAAAAGAGGGACCAAATAAGAAAGCACAGGGTCGTAAACTGGGGAAGGGGTCCAATTAGAAGGGAACATAGATAGACAAAGAACTATAGCCTTTTTAAACCTGGAGACAAAGAGAGACTCAGACAGATTTTGGATTTTTTATTTTTTCCATTAGAGAGAAAGAGAGCAAGTTTTTTCTGCATTTGGGGGTCCCATTTGGAGACCCCTTACTTGGGAAAGTTTGTATATGCTTCCAGTAAACTTCCACATTTTTATTAAAGAAGCCTTTTAGTCCATGAGTTTATTATTCTTCAAACTTTGTGGGCAAGGACCCATGGAAGAATCTGCACCCTGATTCTGCACCCCAC